TTTGAAACACCTTGATTCCTTTCGAAGCATTCACCGCGCTCGCAACTGCAATGCAAAGGCTAGTTGCTTTAAGGTTGATCTCTCTCTCTCTCTCTCTTTATATATATATATATATATATATGTATGTATATCTCTCATTCTTATTATCTTGTCTATTTAACAGGGAAACTTTTTAGAGAATACAACATGCGTTTCATTCACAAGTGACCATGAGAAGATTCCTGATTGGTTTAGCCATCAAACAATTGGATCTTCAATATCTTTTGATATGCCATTGCACATTGAGCATAAGTTCTTGGGGTTGTTTCTTATGGCTATTTATGCAGCCAAGGAAGACGGTGTGATCGCTGCTCCTTTAGCTGTTATCTCTGATAAAACCAACGGTTCTGAATGGATCCATCGTTCTACATTCCATAGCTTTCCAATGACCCAAGAAGATTATTATTGGGTGAGTTTTATACCACAAAGTTATTTTGAACACACAATAAAAGGTGGAGAAAGAATAGAGATCTCTATCAAAATGAGCTCGTCTCTAGAAGTGAAGACGTGTGGTATTCATCTGGTATTCAAACCAGATTTTCAAGGGAATAATCAGGGACAATTCTCCAATGTTGATGCAAGTGTTCACAAGAATGAAGTGTTGAGCTATATACATCCAAAGAGAAGTCGTCATGCGGATCCAATTGAGACAAGCTACAATTCGGTAGACAGAGACAATAAAAGATCGAGGATCAACCCTGGTTCGATATGAATTTTGGAACTCTACTGCAAGAGAGACACCTCGCGAGCCGGGCTTGGCTTTTAGAGATGAGAGAATTCATGCATTTCATATTGAGAGTTCATTCAACTCCTTACCAAGTCGAAGTTTGAGACTTGTGTCATTGCAAGAGTCCACCATTGAGTCCTAGACTTTGTGTTTGAATAGCATGTTTGATTTTACCATTCTAGTATTTGAGTTAACATTGATGGCTGTTACATTTTTGGACTTGCAATAAAATCTCACTAGCATTAGCATCAGAGTATCTGTAAGTCTTATTTTTAGAAGATCAACATTATTTGTGTTCAATTGCTGTTATGTTCTTCGTGATTTAGATCTTTGGTTATCTGAAATCCCTAGGTACTTTTCATGCTAGCATTTTTTTTTTAAATACATTCTCAAATTAACCCTATTTCTGCAAACTTGCACTTTTGCAAGATATGATTTTTCTTGCTCTTGATAAGAATCTATTAATTTTTTAGATCTATCATAAAAAAAAATGTCGCCAATGAGTATTAGCAACGAACAGAAAAATACCCAGTTCATTGTGCATTCTGTGGTTTATGGTGATTAATAGTATATGATTACAAGCACAACCTTATGTAACGAACACATTTTTTTTCATCAATTCAGCGTGAGGTAGTTGAAAAAACTTGCCAAGAGCTTAGTAGACGCATAAAACTCGTGCTATATTGGGTCTGGAACCAATTCCTTGAGCTTTTTAATGAACTTGAATATCTATGGGATTCTTGGCAACTCTCCTAAATACTCTAGTACCGGAGTAAATGACCTATCTTTGATCGTATTGGAGAGGAAATTAGTCTAAGCATGCGTAAACTGATCCAACACCCCTGATTATTGAACCAAAAAAACATCTATTATATTGCATAAATTCTGATATTTGGATCATGTTATTAGGGGTGCCCATGAGCCGAGCCGAACTGGGGTAGGCCAGAGAAATTTTTTTTGGTCCAGGTCTTGATAGCGTAAGCGCAAGTTTTTACTCAGGCGAGTTATCGGGTAAGTCAAGCCAAACTTTGGGTATGAATAGGTTATCCGCAGCCTAACCCGCCACTCACCGAGCGGGGCCTTATAGGCGGGCTTGCTATATATATATATATATATATATATATATATATATATATATATATATATATATATATATATATATATATATATAATTTCAATTAAAATATTTTCAACTTCATATTTTTTTAAACTATATTTTTTAATTAAAATTAAAATCAAAATAGATAATAAATAAATAATGAATAATTTTATTTAAATATATTACCACCAAATTTTCAAAGTTTCGATAATCAAATGTTTTTCAAAGAATTGGGTGGAAGGACAGACGAGCTAGATGGATGGACTAGGCTAGGTGGTGGGCTGGGCTAGGTTGATGGGCAAGCTAATGGGGCGGGTTTTGTGGGTGGGCTAATTGGCCAAGTTTCGAGTTGAATAATGGGCTTGAGAGCAAGCCTAAACAATCTTTCGAAGAATATTGGACTCAAATTCGGATTCGAGCAGGCCAACTATTAGACCTATCAAGATTCGAGCCTATTTGTTTTTAAGTCAAATAACTGAACCCTTAGACAACCCAACTCATAGACACCCCTAACAGTTATCATCCTAAGTGCCCAAAAACATAGATATCACCCCCCTGAACATAAGCCCCGTGCTATATTAGGTTTTAATGTTAAAGGTCTCTCACTCACATAATAAATCAGCATGAATTGTTACATACAAAAATGGAATTAACATTTCATTTTTAAATTCCACAAACAACAGCAGTTTTATGAAACTTTCTTATAATTTTGCGGGTCCCTCTAAATAAGGGGTGACATTCCTTCCAATACTTTCTTTTTCAATACTTTTTTTTTCTATTTTATTTTTGGATAAAATTTTGATGTCCAAATTTATTTATTAAATTTTGCAGCTCAAATGATGTGTCAAAATTATATGCATTGAATATTTGATAAAATTAGTGGACTTCATTGATCCAACAGCCCGCACTTTGGGATATAATATTTGGTAAATGATTTAGTAAGCATTTGGTTCAATGGTACTCCTTACCTTGTAAAAATTTTGTCTTCTTGAGGTCAAGGTTCAAGTTTCCCTCCTCTTCCCCCTCCCCCAAAAAAAAAATAGCATTACTCATTAATAATAGAAGATCTATCAAGAAAAAAATAAAGGGGAAAAATATTTTAGGGAATCCCTAGTATATATCTAATGTGAAGAGAGATTTTAGAGGTGAGAGTAGCTCCCAATGCTTTCATGATGAACTTATTTAATTTTTACATGTAGTAGATTGCAGTTTTGGGGGAAAAAAAAGATTAAATTTTATCCAAATTTGAATCTACCTAAATATATATACATAGATTGATATTTATTTAGCTAATAATTCAAATCTAAATCCAAATATGTTATACCATATTTAATAGATTTGAATTTTGATACATCAATATCCGATCCAATTAGAAACCCAGATACGGAATCAAATGGGGGGCTAGTGGGCCAAGGCCTCTCTCAAATTTTTAAAAATACCTTTTACCTTTTTAGGTTTTAAAAACTTAATATCTCCGCTTAGATTTTTATAATTTTTTTTATATATCTTTTGTATTCAAATAAACTAAACGTCCTTTAATAACCAAATGATTAATGCTAACCACATGGATGAGTGCTTCTTTTATGGACAAATAAATTTTCTAAAATCACTTGTTGATCGAAAAAAAAAAATTTGTTTGTATGATAAACAATGCACTAACAATTAATTTGTCAACTTGACTTAAAAAAAACAAAAAAAACCATTAATTTGTTCGTAATCATTACATCATGTTGTAAGTAAGAGAATAAATGGACCTTGACATTGTCACATTAATTTTTATGATTGTAAGTACGAATATGTTTTTAAATATTATGATCCAAACTAATTTTCATATGATATAATACAACAATTGATTTTGATGAGTTTTATACAACTAACAATTTAATATTAACAATAACATAACAATGGACCTCATAAATAAAATTTTTGACCGTGTTATTGTTCTTGTTTGGCCCCCCTCATCTTCAAATTTTGATTTTGTTCCGGTATAAACTAATCGAAATTATACATTTACTACCATTTTGTATAAATTTATGATGAAATTAAGTTATTATTTGATAAATTGGAATTTTTTAATCAAATTTAGATTCATATTGACTACAATATTATTCTAATTTAATTTGTTGACAAACCTAATTGAAAGTTTAATTTTTGATTCACCAATCACCCTATATTTGAAAACTATGGATAATTCGTGCACGGTGTAATGTAATTGATTTTGAGAGGGTTATTGGTGATCGTTAGACGAATCTATTTGAGACCGTTGAATAGACTTATTAAAGCATATTTTTTTTATATTATAAATTTATATTCAAAATTTGTCTTGTAGCTATGAATTTGAATGACGCATGCATTTTTGTCCCAAAAAAAAGAGTCATGCTTTGGACAAATCCTTCCTAGGGAAATTATTGTAAAAGTGATGCATGTAACCTGGACCCAACTCACTTTTATCATTGGAGACAGAAACTCATTCCCACGGGCAAAAAAAGCAACAGCTCATACACCAACACTACAGACTTGGGCTCTTGACAAACCCATGACATAGAATTCCATAGGTGGTGGTGGACAGGCTTGTTGATAGATTAGATTTAAATTCGATTTACTCAATTTAAATTGAATTTTACTTTAAAATTTTATTTCGATTATTTAGGAAATTTCAATATTACAATTCAAATCCCACCCTCTTAAGAATCAAAAATTCGATTCGAAAATCTGATTTGATCTCAATAAAGCGAAAATAAACCCTGATTTTGACTCAATTTATCAAATCATTTTTTTTAATTTTGTTACATATTTTTGTATGATATTTAAATTTAGATTCAATTAATCAATCAAAATATTAATTTACATTCAATATTCAGAATAATCTCATTCACCCATAAAACTCCATGATTAGTGTAGGTGGCACAGTGACCCACCATCGTAATGACTTCTTCCAACCATCAAAAGTATCTCTTTCCTCACTCTCCTTCACACACACACACAAGCATCTCACTTTCACTTCCCTAAATTGACAAGACCACAAAGGCAAATGAGATAAGACCCAAGCAACAAAAATGCTCAAAGCCCAGCTTCACCCCATGAACACCCTCTTGCTAGCATTACTTTTTTTGCATACCCAGATCAAATTATGTAATGGGTCTTCATTTTTTGACCTGAATTCTCCAAAAACCACTGATTTTGATGCAGTGGCCAAGAGGGTATGTGCCGGAAAGATCGGACAATGCGAGGAAATGGTGGCAGAAGAGGAAGAGATGGATTCAGAGATCAATCGGAGAGTGTTGATGATGCAGAAGAGGTATATAAGCTACGATACTCTGAAGAGGGATATGATTCCTTGTAATAGACCTGGGGTTTCTTATTACAATTGCAAGAATGCTGGTGAGGCTAACTCTTACAACAGAGGTTGTGAGGTCATTACAAGGTGCAGGGGTGTTAGTGACATCCATGCTTGATAAATTGAGGCAGCAACAGTGATGCAATGGGATTCGGTAAAGATTGTTTTTATTTTATTTTATTTTATTTTTTTGAGTTTCATGTTCTTCTTTTAGGGATTTTCTTGGTTGTGATTGTATATTTGTTGAGATCAACATGAAAATAAGGCATGACCAAAATGAATGGCAAAGATAGTCTATAGCCGACCCCAAATGATTGGGACATAAGGTTTGGTTTGGTTATCAATATGCCATTACTTATATATAATGTGACTTTAGCTTATGTCGGAGCTGATCTAAATTTTGAGAATTCTAAAGTTTTAGCAATTTTGGTGATTTTGAAGGTATATTTGAGGACTTGTTCAAAAAAAAGGGGGTATATTTTTTATTTAATTTATGGCGTTGTTAGTCATCTAACAATCTGATTTTTTTGATTATGAGACTTGTCTAAAGAAGATCTTTTTTTAAGCATTCTTCAATGTAGCATGATGTTTAGGCTATGATGACATCTGCTTAGATGTACATTTGGGATGGAACTATAAAATAGAATGGGCATTTGTTGCAGCATTTCATAGTAGTTCAGCATCTGCTTGACCTTTTTTATCCCACCAGCATATCAGAGACACTGCATTTTTCAATTTAACCATGTATGGATCGATACCTTAGTTTGATCTGAAATCTTGTTTAGGTCTTGTTTTCTGGTTCAGGCGTACCAATGCCCTTAGTGTGAAACGTTATATACTTCATACACAAGTATACGACACTGCAAATTAATTCTTTCTGTATATTCTAAGCTAGCACCATGTATGTGCATAAGCTAATAAGTCAGCAGAAGTCAAGATTGACATTTCATACCTGAAGTTGCCTCTAAATCATTGAACACGCATATATTGATATCATCATGATACATTTTACTTCAAGTTTACCTTAAATACATATGAAGTCAACTGCCACTCGAGGAATCACATTGCCTGTTTGGAAAATAAACACTATTCAACATCGTTTACTACGCTAACTTTGATGGGAAGATACAAATGGAGGAAACTCGGAGGAAGGGAGCAGTGAAAATGTGTCAATAAGGAGCATATGCATAGCTCATGCCTATGTTTCGACTGTAATATTTGTATACCACAAATGCTATTTAACTGGCTGGTCTCCGTTTAAGTTATCTTTATTTGACACCATATCAATTTTGGACCTAATTGTCGTGAACAAGACATCCATTCTGGACTTTTGTAGTACTTGCACTTCTGCGTTTTGAAGAAAAGAAAGTTCTATTGCCTGCTGAGCCTGAGTGGGATTCTCATGATTCTTTGGCTTGGGTTATCACTTTTGAGCCGATTGCTTGTAGTTGTTAAATATGAAAAATGGGAAGTCATGTTCTGGATTGAGTCATGGATATTTCTTTTATTGTACGAACTGTTGATGTTTATCAATGAAAGAGGAAAAATATATTGATCAAGTGTAAACCAGATCTGTATTACAAATGAATTTATACTAGGGCAACATAGTAATATAAATGACTAATCTACCCCTAATTCTAATATACTAGATTACTCTAACATCCTCCCTCAAACTCATGATATGATAGCATCCAACATCAAGAATTTACCAAGAAGAAAACAAAAGCGAGCGATAGTGTGAGATTTGGTGAAGAAATCAGCCAACTGCATAGTCGAAGGAAGATATGGGAGAGAGATCGTGCCCAGCTGAAGATGATGGTGCACAAAATGACAATCAATCTCTATATGTTTGGTGCGCTCATGAAACACCAAGTTGTGGGCAATCTGGAGAGCACTGGTGTTATCACAATACATAGGAGTAGGAGTAGTCAAGGAAATGCCAAGATCAACAAGCAACCAACGTAACCAAACTATCTTTGTTGTGGTAGATATCATAACACGATACTCAGCTTCAGCAGAAGAGCGAGCTACAATAGTTTGTTTCTTGTTTTTCTATGAAATAAGAGAACCACAAAGAAAGAGACAAAAATCAGTAGTGGATTTGTGATCCATGGAGTCACCAGCCTAGTCTGCATCAAAGTAAGCACAGAGCTCCAGAGACGAAGAAAAAGAAAATAATAAACTCTAATGTAACGTACCCGTAGATATCGAAGAATCCAAAGAACAGCAGACCAGTGAAGTATGGTAGGAGCAGCAATAAATTGACTAACCACATGAACCGCATAAGCAATATCTAGACGAATAACAGTAAGATACACCAAACTCCCAACAATAGTACGATATAAAGTAGGATCAGGCAGAAGAGAACCATCAGAGGAAGTATAACGAACATTAAGCTCCAAGGGTGTGTCAACAGTTTGAGTATCTGAAAAGCCAACTCGCTGAATAACATCTGAGGCATATTTTGCCTGAGAAAGAAGATCACACTTGAAAGAGGAAGCAACCTCAATCCCTAAAAAATATCGAAATGGACTGAAATCTTTCATTTCAAAATAATCCTATAACTGAGTTTTCAACAACTAAACTCCAGTATTGTCATCACCCGTAATAATCATGTCACCCACATAAAGTAATAGAAGTATGAAACCAGAAGAAGTGGATCGAAGAAAGAGAGAAAAATCATGATCACTAGCACAGAAGCCTAAATCACAGATTACTGAAGGAAATTTTGTAAACCATGCCATCGAGGCCTGTTTAAGACCATATAAAGACTTGTGAAGTTTGCACACATGACCAGAACTATAAGGCAACCGAGGAAGAGTCATTATATAGACCTCTTCAAAACAAATCACCATGAAGAAAAATATTTTTCACATCTATCTGGGATAGACTCCACTGACGAACAGCTGTCACGGCAATTACTGTGCAAATCGTGGTCATCTTAGCCACTGGGGCAAAGGTCTCATCATAGTCAAACCCATACTGTTGAGCAAAACCCTTGGTCACTAATTTAGCCTTGTACCTTTCCACAGAATCATCAGATTAAGTTTTGATTTTATAAACCCACCTACAACCAATGGGGTGTTTACCAGGAGGTAAAGGCACTAACTCCCAAGCTCGAGTTTTATGTAGTGCAGAAAGCTCCTTATCCATAGCTTGTTGTCAAAGAGGATCAAGTATAGCCTCTTTATAGGAGGTTGGTTCAGAAAGAGAATATATAGAAGTCAGGAAAGAACAAAAAGCAAAAGAATAGTAAGAGTTGGACCAACCAAATCTGTCAGGACACTTCTGAGTGCGCTGAGGGTAACGGGGAGTGTGATCCACGGTGTCAGAAATTGATTGGGAGCCAAGAGGTGCATATAGAAGCACAACATCTGTGGAGGAGACAGTGGGAGGCCTGCGAACATAAATATGCACAATAGAGGGACGGGTAACAGACAACTCAGGTAAAGAGAAAGAAGAAGAAGAAGAAGAAGAAGACGAGGGAAGATCAGCCACAGTCATATCACCAACATAAGAATTAGGAGAAACATTAGAGAGAAATGGATCAAAATATATAAGATCAGATTTATGCTAAGATGATGAACTAGATGGAATAGAGAAAAAAAAATATGCTCCATAAAAATAACATAGCGAGAGACATAGAGTTTCTGTGTACTAGGATCATAACATCGAAATCTCTTTTGTCCCTTACCGTAGCTAAGAAAAACATATAAGGCTAAACGAGCCAAGAGTTTGGTACAATAAACACTAGGTAGCAGAACAAAACATGTACATCCAAACACATGCAAGGAAAAATAGTCAGGTGTCCTACCACATAGTTTTTCAAAAGGTGATACACCAGAATTAAGGATTGTAGGAATGCAATTAATTAGATGAATTGTTGTAAGAACTGCTTCTCCCCAAAAAGAGTTAGGGGCATTGGATGACAACAACAGTGAACGAGCTGTCTCAATAATGTGACGATGCTTCCGTTCTGCCACTTCATTTTGAGCAGGTGTGTCAGTACAAGAAGACTGAAAAACAGTGCCATCAGATTTCAACAAATTACGAAAAGCACTAAAAAAATATTCTCCTCCTTGATCACAACGAAAATATTTGATGATAGAAGAATATTAAGTATATACCATAACATGAAAGATAGGAAAAATAGAAAAGAACTCAGACCTACATGTCATTAGATACAACCAACAATATCTGATATGATCATCAATAAAAAAAAATATAATATCTAGACCCCCATTTAGTAGTAATAGGAGCTGGTCCTCAAATATCATAATGTACAAGATCAAAAGGTACAAGAGAACGAGAATTACTTTTATTGAAAGGTATTTAGCCAACTCGTAGCTACTACAATCTGAAATATCATGACACTTTAAACTACCCAAACTACTAGTAGAAGCTAAAAATTTTAAACGAAAATGAGAAACATTACCTAAACAAGAATGTCATAAATAAAAATTGGACAATTTTGGACTCCATTAAAAAGAGGATAAATCAACAGTAGATGCAACAACTTCAAGGACATGAAGTTCGTCCAACACATATAACCCTCCATTTCTATGGCCTGTTCTAATTAGCTTCTTGGACCATGGATCCTACATATCACAACCAGTAGAAAAAAAATGAACTAAAAATCCCGAATCAAACAACTGACTAACAAATATTAAATTTAAAGTAAGTTGAGGAATATAGTAGACATCAAGAAGTATACGCTGGGAAGACATGATAGTTCCAATACCAACCAACGATATTTGGGTGTCATTGGCTGTAAGAACAGATATAGAAGGAGGGGAAACAATAGAAACAAATAAGGAAGAGTTACTAATCATATGATGGGTGACTCTTGAGTCAAAGACCCAGGCAGTTCAAGAGATACCTAAAGGTCCTGTAGTAAATGAACCTACGGAAGGAGAAACTAATAGGGCACCTGGTTGATGAAGGAAAACAAGCTTCTGCAACTGATCAGCTATCATAGTCATGCTGGGCGCTGATGGGAGTGTCTCATCCATTGGTGAAGCAACTGCAGCTGTATGACGATCTTTGTGCCCAAATGGCTGTTGTAAGGCCCCTTTGGCATTCTTGTTCACTAATTTAGGATATTGAGCCTTCCAGTGA